ATCCTGAAACCCCCCCCCCCTTTGATTTCTGAAGAAAAATCACATCAATAATGGTTTCCTCTTGAAATTATACTTTTGACTAGCTGAATCAGTTATAAAATGTACCAAATGGCACCACTAGCCCTCTAAAATACCAATTTTTTGGGGGCCCTTAAGCAGGACCCAAACCCCATGCAGACCCCCCCCTCCCCCTTCAAATAATCCTGGATCCACCCCTGGGTATGAACGATATTATAACTTACAATTCATTATAATTAATAAAATTGACATATTCCAGTTTCATAACTCTTTGATTTCTTGTTTTTCAGTTGAATCACCTCCATCTCTGTAAAATGCTTCATTTTGAACAGTACGAAGTAGAAAAGATGGTCATAAAAAAGCCAGATATTTTAACTATTAGTAAGTTTTCTTGGACGATTGGTCAATTTGTTTTACTTTCTCTTTGAGTGTTTACAGTGAAATGGATTTTATCTATTTTTTTTCTAACTTCTTCACAACCCACAAATTTTGGTTTGGCTTTTTTGTTATTATTATATAATAGTTATTCCATCCATTACTTCTATACATATACCCAGAAAATTCAAAACCTCATCTTTACAAAAAGATAAACTACTGTATAATTTCTTCTTTATTAACACGAGTGCATTTTCTAATATCTCCAAATTTCATAAGTAAATAATAATACTGCATCTTCACTTCTTTTCCCAGGGCCTGAATCTCTCGTCCACAGATTTGAGTATATTCACAATGAAATGAACATCCCCCATGAGATGATAGTCAATTTTCCTCTTATTCTCACCACCAGCATCCATCGTCTACGAGAACGCCATAGTTACCTGCGCCATGTTGGGCGCGTGCAGTACGATCCAACCAAAGAAAACTATGTATCGCTGGAAGTGCTCGCACTCAGCAACGATACACATTTCATAGAGAAAGTTGCCAAGACAACCATGGAAGAGTTCCATGCTTATCTGAAAACAATCTAAGCAGATTTTTGAGAGACGGAGAATACAAAACTGAGTAAATAATTACACCTGTTGGAAAATTTCACGTAGAGACATACTTGTTGGCTTCAGATGGAAATAAATTGATATTTACAGCTTCAGTTTTATTTAACATTTATTATTTATTAGTAACAAGGCAGCAAAGCTGTGGAATGTACAGGCAACAAGAAAGAAAATAATTCAATCAAGCTGGTTTGCAAATTTGCCAAACAGATAAAATGTGCTAGAAAAGGCAATGAAAAAAAGTGACTTTTTTTTGATAAATGGTCTAATCAGCTGATTTTCGAATCTGACCTATGCCTTATGAATATTCATCACCCTATTCTCTAAGTTTGAAGACAAAAGATAAAATGGTTTTTGTTTTATTTGTTTAATGGTGGATAAAATATGCTTTTAAAAAAAAGGAAAAAACAGTAACTTTTGACCTGTGTTTAATGAATGTCATATAATTATATTAGTTCTGTAAGTTTGAGGACAAAAGGTGAAACAGTTTTCATTTTATTTGTACAAAAGTGTATGAAATATGCTTTAAAAAAAGCAAAAAACAGTATAATTTTTGAAAAATTTAACTAATAGTCATCAGTTCTGTAAGTTTGATGACAAAAAGTAAAATGTTTCCATCTTATTTGTATAACACTGCACAGCGTCCAAGGAGGATGCTGATGAAGACAGACACAGGCGACAGCTATATGTACAGATACATCTGTGTCTGTACATGAAAATAAATCAGGAAAAATTAAATTAGACATCGTTGTTACCATGACCAGTGATTAAAGCATGCACGCAGGTTTTGATAATTATACAGTGCATGGTGACTGGTAGCCCCATGAAGCTGGATCAGGGGCGGATTTAGGCCGTCTTCTGGAAGACAGTCAGATTTCCACATTTATATTGTCAGCCATCTAATGTTTTCTGTCAGAAGACATGGCCCTAAAATTTTCCCCCAGACGGCTCAGTAGTATGTGCATAGGTAGGTCAAACATATTATTAAATGCTCAGACAAAAACCTTTCAATTCGTATATAAAATTTTGCATTAAAGTGTAAGGTTCAATATNTTTTTTTTCTAGCCCACTTGTGGAAAAATGCTTATCAATTTGCCCATATGTGAGCAAAAGTTATGTTTGGAAAGTTCGAAATCATTTGTTTCGAGAATTTTTATATTAACAATAAATTTCTGTAGCTAGTTTTGCATATTCACTGATCTGCCCTTGAGCATGGAGAGTCCAGATATGTTCCCGTTGTACTGGTGACTTTTGTAATGTTTTCATGTAACAGAATTTGTGACATTTTATATTCCCCATTTGTTATTCATTTGATTGTCTAAAAATGTCGGCTAGACATTGAAAATTGATTTTGAAATGATATTTGACAATTTTGGCAAAATATACATTGTGAAGGAAGAACATGCACCTTTTCCTTCCAAACAATTACAATCACACTCCACCATTGTATTGAATTTACTGAATTTTTTTTTCCATTATAACATATAGCAGTAAAGGAAAAAGGAAAGAATGCCGGGTCCGAAGCATTTCGATAAGGCCAAATTCTAAAATTCTGGGCAATTTGTGGTGTTTTGAGACCAGATTATGCAAGTCCATACTACTTTTTCGTTTTTTTTTTTCTCTTGTGGTGGTGTTGGTGGTGGAAGGGATAAAAATCCAGCGCTGTTTTATCAAATGAGAAATTGTTATATGTCTTTGTTGAAATATGTTGCTTGAAATATGATCGAACATAATTCAAATATTAGTTGTAAGTTTTACTCACCAAATCAATTAAATAAAAGGTTCAAATTATTACACCTTTGCCTGAGCCCTGATGCAGGTACATGTATTAATAACTTTTGCCTTTATTCTTAAATTGGAACATTCAAATATTTTAAATGAATATACATACATGAATGGAAATTTGTTTTGGTGTAAATAAATAATTTCCAAAGTTTCAAAAAGTCGTAAAGCAAACAAGGCAAAAAAAAAAAAAAAAAAAAAAAAAAGCATAACATCTGTCTGTACATAAAAACTGGTGCACAATGTTTTACACCTGTCACTGAAGAATTACTGAGGTAACAAATTTAACAGATGAATATTCAACACTGGAGGATCAGAGAGGCAATACTGCCTACAGGTATTGTACCACCAGCTGGAGTAATTAAGTGCATTGGTATGGAAAACCAAAACAAAAAAAAAAGGGGGGGGGGAGGGACACCTCTAGTGCTGACAAGCTCTACAAAATGCAAAAGTTCTCTTTTTTTGTTGAAAATCACAATTTATAACAAAATCATGGGGAAAAATAAAATGTCAGTCCAAATTTGTGAAATGTGATTTCTAATTTGATCTCTTTCCTATTATTACTGACCAATCACGCACTTCACATAATTAGATCATGAAAGAGCATCTATATATACATGTATAAGAAAGCCAACAAGAACTTAACGGCGGTACTAATTCATCCGCTGTCTCATCAATCTTTTGCAATTGTTTTATATTTCTTTTCTACACACATGAAACTCAAAGCTTGCATGTCAATGTGTCACGTGCAATTAAATTTTGTTGAGACATATTTCAAGAAAAAGCTCCATTAGAATGCACATCACCACGTTCGCTTCTGCTGATCGAAGTTCAAGGCACTTCTACTTCCCTGTTGAAGATATTTATTGACATAAGCAATATCTATGATGACAAATATTTCATGATTTTCCTCTGTGTTGTGAACTAAGATATCATTACAGGTAAACTCTCACTGTAGTACACTGAAGATTCTCTTAGATATCTATGATGACAAATATTTCATGTTTTTCCTCTGTGTTGTGAACTATGATAACACTACAGGTAAACTCTCACTGTAGTACACTGAAGATTCTCTTAGATATCTATGATGACAAATATTTCATGTTTTTCCTCTGTGTCATGAACTATGATAACACTACAGGTAAACTCTCACTGTAGTACACTGAAGATTCTCTTAGATATCTATGATGACAAATATTTCATGTTTTTTCTGTGTCATGAACTATTTTTATTATCACTACAGGTAAATTCTCACTGTAGTACCCTGAAGATTCTCTTAGATATCTATGATGACAAATATTTCATGTTTTTCCTCTGTGTCGTGAACAAAGATATCACTACAGGTAAATTCTCACTGTAGTACACTGAAGATTCTCTTAGATATCTATGATGACAAATATTTCATGTTTTTCCTCTGTGTTGTGAACTTGCATGTTGCTATAGGTGATGGCCTTGACCTCTGTCCCCTGGGGATGCTTGTCAAGGTCAAACTCTTCTCCATACCTGACAACAAAGAGCATGAGATACTGGATATGAACATGATAAAAGTCACCTGTCTTTCTTATTATTTTTTATTCACCTCAGCAGTAAAATAATAAAGATATGAAATCAAGATATTTAAAAAAAACACACATAGTACAATGTACTACAGAAAGGGACCATTCCCAGACCCTATCGTACTAACTATGGATCGATCTTTCTCCAATGCAATTCTTGCTAAATTGCAATCAACTTAAGCTGCTTAAGTGTCTGTGACAGCCATACCTACTGCAGCTGCTAGGAAGTAATTAATTTTCATTAAAACAGCTTCAGTAGTTGTGCTAGCAAGAAACTCCTTGGAGATGGATCGATCCTGTTAGATTGGTCTATAGGTATGGGAACCCCATGTCCTAGGGCCAGAGTGGCCCTGACCAGCCCACCAGATATAACTAATAAAATGTCAGGGAAATGGCCTCCATCACTATGGTTTACTTGGCCATACACCATACACTGTTATAACAATCCTCCCAAAATTAACTGAAAACTGGATGCTTAAAGTACTATCCGGCAGCATACTGTACCTTGTCAAATGACTGCCAATGAAAGCACCTGTTCCAACCAATTTATCAAAACAACCAATCAAACTCCATGTTACAAATACACAACTCTTCCTCTCCTCTTACCCTACTGCTTTTATCCTAAAATTTTCTTCGTCAAATTCAGTTATTTTTATTTTCTGGAAAGAAGAAATTAAACATTTAGCATGAATAAAGACAATTTGTTTACTAGTACACTGATATTTATTCATAACTTTCAAAATATTTCTCCAGAGATGACTCGAATATATCATAAAGAACGTATTACATATTATATATCATTTTTACCATTTTATACTCTGTTTTATCTTTCTGCATGAAGTAAGAGTTTTGGAAGATGGGTTTTTGAATGCCTACTTTGGGAAAATATAATGAAATAAGATACATAGTTTTTACTTAATAAACAATAACAAACAATTCAAGACTTGTTCTGGAATGTCACCCCTCAACTCACTCTAGCTATAAAAAATGGCTCTGCAGAGAAGAGAAAGAGCCACTCATCCAAGAAGTGAAACAACAGGCTTTCTATATCTTCACCTGAAATATATACCAATATAATAGCATGACAAAAGAAGTGAAACAACAGACTTTCCATATCTTCACTTGAAATATATACCAATGTATAATAGCATGACAAAAATAATACACCTTTGATCTTCACTGATCTACAGAATAATTCAGTCATCACATAATCTTAATTAAAAGAATGAAATGGTCTTATTAATGGCCATACACTATCCAAAAACTGTTTTTCCATGTTGTCAAGCCAGGTAAGTCGCCCAAAAGATGATAAACTTAATTAAAAGATTGAAATAGTGTTTAATATGCATGCTATGCATTATCTTGAAACTGACCGCAAATTGTCTTTTACGTTGTCAAGTCAGGGCATTCAACCAAAAGATGATGAAAAATTAACAACATACAAGAGGAGCTCAGATTTGGTCTACACTCATATCAGAAATCTGGCACTACAGTGTAATTTCTTCAAGTTTTTATTTTTCTGTGTGGTTGTTCCTTACCCTGTGCCTCTATACACTGCATATACAGAACATCCAAGAGAAGCACAAAACTATCCTACACAGAGATCTGGTTTTTATTTTCTATAGCCATTCCTTACCTTGTGCTTCTATAGATTGCTTGTCTAGCATTTCAACATATTCTATTTCTGTCATATAACCAAACATCGCCATGGCAACCTGAATTAAAGAGTGATTTATATGAGAGGTTCAATTTATCAAAGTCACAAACAAGCTGTTGATTATACTCAGTCAAATATTTAATTAACAATATCAGCTGGGATTAAGTTGGTTGAGGCATCAGCTTGACACGTGAATTATCAAAATGTGAGAAATCAATAAATACTGAAGTTCTTTGAAGGACTTTGGTTTCACCCTCTTCAGCATATTCTAACATATATAAACTTATTTGGTGGAAGATAAAAGCTCCCCAACCCCTTCCCTCCCTGGCTCACCCCCCCCCCCCCCCCCCCACACACACACACACACCCCAACCCCGTCCCTCTGTACTGCCTTACCTGTTCAAATGCCTCCTTGATGTCATCTCCCCATGAGTGAAGCCTAAAATAAACAAAATAAACAACATTAAAGAACATTAACTGTATGTGAAACACTTAACTTTATGTTTTAACATAAAAAATGCAGTGCTAGCTGGTCTGCACTTATCATAAAATTGCAGCACAAATCAAGTTAATAGAAGTGGGTAACTATAAGAACCAGAGCTTCAGAAATTAGTTCTTCATCAAAATTTAAATCCGTTACTGCTTTTTAAAATATATACCCAATACTGTCTACCAAATATTAGGCTTCATTCACATGCAATGCCTATTTTCTAAATTCTATTTTCTATTCGCGGTATGTCTTATGATCACGGTCTGTGCCCTGAATATCCCGCGGCGTAATTACTGTACTTGCAGCGCGAGCCAGTTACTATAAGTTACTTTAAATAACTGGCTCGTGCTGCCAGTAATTACGCGGCGGGATATTCAGGGCACAGACCGTGATCATAAGATAGCGCGAATAGAAAATAGATTTTTAGAAAATAGACATTCCATGTGAATGAAGCCTTAGTGTGAGATGGTACGTAATTAATATTAAGAAAATGGGTGGAAAACTGCATGACTGTGACATATACTTACTGGACATCTGCAGTGTGGTCCAAGTCTGAAAAAAATTGGACACAATATTAGTCATTACCTCTACTACTACAGTACTATATAATGTTAACGTTTATACTTCGTTAGACTCACTTTGTTAACTTTCACTCAGTCTAAATATATGGTTATAAATGTTTACCAACACAGCACATTTACCTAATAATTTACTTGAGTTTTATAAATATTTACTACCAAAAATCCTAATGTGTACAGAAGCAATATCAGGCATAGTTGCCACATTCTCAAAGCTCACAGTGAACAACTTTTTAAAAGTAACACTCTCGGCAGAGAGAGGGGGCATTAACTGAACTTGTCGCGATCAAGTGATCGGCCTACTCTACGCTAAACGTGGAGCCTGTAGTGCCAGAGGCAGGTAGAACCGGCCGGGTAGCTCAGTAGGTAAGAGCACTCGCCCTGTAAGCGAGGGGTCCCGGGTTCGATTCTGGTCTGGTCGGTGATTTTTCTGCACTCACCCCAAATCGCTACAATGGTGGCAGCGGTGTTGCGAGATAGGGCTCGCGTCTTTCGGCATTTGGGGGGGAGGAGTGTAGTGCCAGGGGCAGGTAGAACCGGCCGGGTAGCTCAGTAGGTAAGAGCACTCGCCCTGTAAGCGAGGGGTCCCGGGTTCGATTCCTGGTCTGGTCGGTGATTTTTCTGCACTCACCCCAAATCGCTACANAACCGGCCGGGTAGCTCAGTAGGTAAGAGCACTCGCCCTGTAAGCGAGGGGTCCCGGGTTCGATTCTGGTCTGGTCGGTGATTTTTCTGCACTCACCCCAAATCGCTACAATGGTGGCAGCGGTGTTGCGAGATAGGGCTCGCGTCTTTCGGCATTTGGGGGGGAGGAGTGTAGTGCCAGGGGCAGGTAGAACCGGCCGGGTAGCTCAGTAGGTAAGAGCACTCGCCCTGTAAGCGAGGGGTCCCGGTGTGGCGTGTACCACTCGGAGCGTGAACCATCCGTTCTGCTCATGCGCACAAAGCGCAGGCAAACCTGAGACTTCCGGCATGTACAGTCCGTCTCTATAGAGTCATCAGTACATTCGTAGCCTTTAATAAACATGCACCGTTGAGAACATACTGCAAATTCAAACATAATCTTTAGAAGTGTTCATATCTTATAGACGTTCACCTCTACTGCGATTTGCCTCAGGTGGCCATATCAACACACTAGCCTAGTAAAATTAATACTAAAATAGTAGCCAGCAGCTGAATAACGACGGCACGTCCACGGTAGGTTCATCCATGCGTTGAGTTGTAATTTGACACTGATTCTCTATCAAAATTATCAATTAACACATGAATTTTATCCCCATCATAGTAAATGTATAATGTGGTAGGAAATGAACTAGCCAAATATAACAGTACAGGTGAATAAGAACGGATCATTCACGGAACGGCTCATACACGCGTCTGCTGCGTGTACAATCGGTCAGAACGGATGGTTCACGCAGAACGGACCGTACACGTGACACCGGGTTCGATTCCTGGTCTGGCTGGTGATTTTTCTGCACTCACCCCAAATCGCTACAAGCCGTTAGGCCTAACATTGATCGTTTCTTGTTCCTTGTGTGGAACTTCTCTGGGTTGTCATTCAAACAACTGTAAGCCAGTTCATAAACTGTACTCACATTCATACTTCACTTCAGCCGGCGGTTTTTGAAATTCTGGGTCGTCTTGATCCCCCTCCATCTTGGGATTTCCCTTGTATTTGTACCACGTGGTAGGTTGTGTCCAATCACAGGCGAGGGAATCCCCTTGGTAAAATGGCGGTCTCGTTGAGTGAGTCTTTTTCTAGTTACGACGGAGAAGAAGACGCGATTATTCGCATTCAGGTGAGCGAGGATCGACTGTAACGTGCAAACTGAATGTTTTATGTCAGTAGCGTCTCCACAGAAGCATCTGACACTTATGTTTAACCTTGGTTTGGTACCGAAATATATGTGATGAAATTGTAGCCAGAAGTTTGTTTCACTCGTGTTGTGCAATCACCACCATGACAAATGTACTTCGGCAGTGCTATGACGTCAAAAGCTGAACAAATAAACACTGATATTTTCATTGCCGTTATTGTTTGGCAGTGTTATCTGTAAAACATGGCACAAATGCAAGTTCAGCTCCAGGGTTTATCCGATAAATGTTGCATGGTCCATGGATGCAATTTACAACCACATTTTTCTCTCATCTCAGGTAACAAAATCTTGACCAGCAGTTGTCTGACAATGAAACTGACTCCATCTTGAATATTTTTCATTTATTGTATGTTTTACAGTGTGTTCTATGACAATGACTCCTTTTGGTAAATATGCACAATAGTTGTTTGTGTTGATTATAAGATAGCAGTAAAATATTGATATATATTACATTTTCTTTATTGGTAGTTGGTGTTCTTTCTTCTTTAAAAAAAAAAGACAGTGAAAGTAGCATAATATTTTATCTGGAATTCTTTTTGAATCTGGAGTGTCAGTTACAAAATAATCGTATTTCATTGTATGTTTGGTACTAGTAAGACTTGAGTCAAAATAGTGCTTGGTTTTTCCATGTTGAGTGTCGGGGGGGGGGGGTCTTAATTTGTTTTGGGAGTGTTCCTTTCTTTCTGCTAATTATTGCTTTCAAGTATGAATGTGTCCTGTTCTCTTTGCAGGCCTTCCTCAGGGGAACATTGACCAGGAAATCTCTGCAAGAAGTTCAGAAAGAGTACGAGTCCATTGTAGCAGAGGTGGAGGATGATGATAACAGAACTCACGTAGACTGGAAATGTCATCATCTTTGTCTACCTCTGGTTCACAGAGAGGGAAAAGGGCGATGTGTGAGACCTCCCACGCTGACCAGATTGTCTCATGATAATACGAATAATATGGAATCACATTTGCTCGTGAAAACTCCAGAAAAAACTGCTCAAGCAAGATGCTCTCAAGGTCAAAATGTTGACCCTTCTGGTGGAAGAAATGGCACAGGTGAAACTGAAAACTTCCATGTGAAGAGTGACAAGAAAGATAGGGAATGTTTTAGAGAAGACAATAGGTCGCAATTGTCAAAGCTTGGAATTCAAGTTGAAAGTGAATCATCTCCCAATACATTGACCTTACATGGAAATTCTGAAGGTAGCTATCACAGTCCAGACGATATACCAGAACACCCATTTGAAGATGACACTGTCTCTGGAGGTGAAAGTCAAGGTCATCTAGAGCCTCTTGTCTGCGACATACTGGCCTCTCCTTCAGCTGACAGTGAAGACAGCGACACAGACCCTGCACTGCAGAACAGATCATTACACAGGAGTAATCCAGGTAATCCAGGGAACAATGAGGCATTTCCTCAGGACACAGATATCAGTGTGACAGTCCCACCCAACACTGGGCAGGAAGCATACACTACAGGAGAAAATGACATGGACGTGTCAGACGCCGAAAAACATGAAACAGAAAATTGCAGAGAAATTGGAGCAAAAGTCTCCAAAGATTTAGGGAATACTTCGAATGGGTCTCCCTTCAAAAAAGATAAAATCCATGCTGCCAAAGGACAAACAAAATTAAAGGATCAGGAACTATCAGGAACAAAATTGTCACCAACATTTCAAACAAATGGCGCAGTCATTCCCCCTGCCTCTCCGTTCCCTGTGAGAGAGGAGACAGCTGACCAATCAAGACAAGCCTATCAACTGAACAGCCAATCACCTTCTGGTTTACATCCAGGGAGGAGGTCCAAGGGCCCCCATGACAGCAGTGTGGTCAGTGAGATGACCTCAGTGTGGGACACTATGCTCTCCATGGAAGGTAAAATAAAACTTCTCTGTTAACTATTTTATTAACACTCCCCCTCCTCCTCCTCCCAACAACACTTTCCTACACCCAGACTCTGTGTTTATGACAGTTAAGTTAGTCAGTGCCATTATTGCCTTGATTATTTTCTTAAGAAAATGTAAGTTCATCACTGTTGTCATGGTAATCAATCAGAGTGGAAGGGTTCTGGTGGGTTTTTTTCCATATTAATTGTAAGACACAAATGTTGAAAACTGGATACATAATTGCCATGGTAACTGTTGTTAGTGGTTATGTTTCAGAAGCAGTACAGTTAGTACAGAGTATCCCAGAGATGTAAAGTAACTACAAAAACTGAGGAGTAATATTGCCATGGTAACAGTTGTTAATGGTTATGTTTCAGAAGCAGCATTAGTCAGTACAGAGTATCCTAGAGATGTGAAGTCGTTACAAGAACTGAGGAGTAACGTCGCCATGGTAACTGTTGTTAATGGTTATGTTTCAGAAGCAGCATTAGTCAGTACAGAGTATCCTAGAGATGTGAAGTCATTACAAGAACTGAGGAGTAACGTCGCCATGGAACTGCTGTGGGTGCAGCAGGCAATAGAGAGCAGGAAAAATGTACGTAGAGCTACGTAGCGAGTGTCTTGACTCTGGCTGAGTGAATACTGTAATGTCTCCATCTTTTTATTGGGGAAAATTATGAATTTTGCATATACTATTGAGTCATACTGTTAAGTCATAAATTCTTAGAGTTAGAACATTCATGTTGAATGGAAGCAATAAAACTGAAAGACAGGCTACCTTTCAGTTCTATTCTGTAGTTTAAACACTAAAATTCTTAACAGAATATAATTTTTTATGATTTCAAAGTTACGTATCTTTAATCTGAGCGATTTACAATTTTTCCCGAATTGAAAGATCCAGTCTTAATTGTAATTAAAACTTTTGTATGCCAAAACTTTGTATGCTGTTTTAAGTTGTGCTTCTTGCTTCATGGTTTTGTCTCAGGTGTTGCTTTTCTGTAAATAGTTTCGTTAAAGTTTATGATATACACTACTCTGTTTTTACATCCAAAACATGGGTGCACAAGTTCTTAAAGCAGAGTTGATGGCAGATATTGCTGCTTTTAACATATTTATGCCTGTAATGTCAGAACTCTAGAATGAAGACTGAAGATATTTCTATTTTATATCCTTTTTTATGTCTGTAATTTCAGTATCTGAGACTGAAGACAAAGATGCAGGACCAGAGCAGCTGATGTCAGATGTCAGGGGTCATGTTTGGAGCTGCAGAGTTGCAGTGTTTCTGTGTTTACAGAAAAAAAAAAGCATGTCGTGTTCAAAGCAAGCAGTCGGCTTGTTGCTGAATTGTGAATTCAAAGGTTAAAAACTCTAATTTTCTGCTTTAGACATGTAAATCAAATATTCCAGACCACAAACATCTTTTTTTTTTGTGTGTGCAGAATTACTGTAAGTATCCAAACTGAAGACAAACTCAGATTATCTCAGATAAATATTCACTGTATATCATTTATTCTAAATATGTACACCATCTGTCGCAACACAGAGCTAGTATTTTACACAATAATATACACTTGAGATGTGAAGAAGTCTGAAAAATATATTATTTCTATTGCAAACTTTCATCACAACAACATTAAATGCTGTCAGTGAAAACTCTTGGACAAGGAAAAAGTCCTGGCTCAAGATGCCTTAAGTTTATATGTTTTCAAAAAATAAACTGTAAATTAAGAACCAATTGCTATATTTTTTTGCAATATCAGTGTTTTATGATTCATTTCAATGATGATACACTGTCTCTTTCTTTAAGTCTCCTCCATGAACAATACTACACAATCTTCAACCCATTAAGAACAATCTCCGCAGCATGTCAATAGTATTTTCCATATTTTTCTTGTTAAAAAGTTTTTAGCCTAGTAGGGTTGTTGAGGTCCTATTTACGTGCTCTCAAAGAAAGTTCTGAAGTCCTCTAAGCTTATCTTGCCCTCGGCATCTCTTGTACACTGTGCCACCAACTGGAAAGATTGAAACGAAACTATTAAGAATGGAAATGTAAAAACTACATTCATTTTAGTGGGGGGGGGGGGGGGGGGGGAAAAAATATTTTTTTACTTAAAAAAATTAAAAAAAAAAAAAAAAAAAT